GTTCTCATCAAAAAAAAAGTAATGGTAATTACGTGATGTGATACAGGTAGGGATTAATGCTAAGGTGGTAATCATTTTGCAATATATGTGTATCAAATCAATACATTATACACCTTAAACTTATACAATGCTATATGTCAATTACATCCCAATAAAGCTGGGAAAAAAAGAAAAGATGAAGAATTAAAAGGCAGGGAAAGGACCGAAAAAGATAAAAGAGCTACACGTAAGGAAAATTAGGGCATTATATTAACCCATTGCTATTCAGTTTTGCAAATACTCCTGGTTCCTATTTAAAAAGAACATAACCAGCTCCAAACTGCATTTGTAATAAAATCGTTTAGTGGGAAAAACTGTTTGTTTGGTTTCAGGTTTCCTAAATTAGGCGTTATACTTTCTGATTCAGTTCCAGCAAATGAAATCCTGCCTGGGGCTTTGGAGTTGCCATCCTTCCAAGTTAGCACTTCAAGTAACAAAAGGAATCCTGGAGAGTTAAGAAGTGCATGCCAAAGATAAAAACAGTAAGCATATTTAAAAGAAACTTATGAAGCTGGAAACTGAAAAACATTTCATGGAATAAAATCTTGTTCATATTTAGCCATCATGAAACTCTTTGAAGTCTCTTTTAAACCAACAACTTTGAGACATTTGTTTAGTCTAATCCTTGGGGAACATAGCAGATAATCTTTAAAGGCCTTACATTATACTAGCAGATCATCTTAGTTAACAGCATTCAAATCGATGTTCTATTTTAGAAGATATACAACATTCCTATCTCTTTAGTAGTCAAAAGAATCTTGGGATTATCTCCTCTATTCTCTTTACACATAAAAGTAAATAAATTGATGACTCTAGCATATTCTTTACCTTAAACAACACATATGTGAGATATACTAAACTACATTTGCCTATCTCTGCTTCGCAAGACAGAGGCAGGTCTAGAATTTGTAGTCAGGACCTAATTATGGTGCTGGAAGCTACAGCTGTTAACAAACTAGATGCAGACAGAAGCTGACCAGATAATGTAATTGCAGCGGTCAGGAAGGCACACCAGCAGAGCAAACAAATTCCACCTTCGGCTGCTTAGAGAGAGACCATCAGCCTTTGATACAATACACATGCCAGAGGTGAGACTGAACACTGAGAAAGGACACCAATGTCTCCCTGGCTTTCCAAAGGCCTCTTCTTTCTCAAAAAGGACTGACAGCAACTGACACAGGAGAGAGATCTGGGTGCAGAAAGAAACTTGAAAATTCTGCTCTAGTCAATTTTAGACTCTCATTAAATTCAGAGCTTCTCCTGCCACACAGGAAGATTGTCACTAGGTCAAACGAGGAATAAGAAATCTGTGCGCCTTGAGATCAACTATTTTGCCTCTTAAAGTATACATTGTTCAAAGTACACTATATCTTGAACTTTGTGGACCATGACTGACAGGAAGGAATGCATTTTATATTATAACCCAGTACATACAAGACACAACAATTTAAGTTTCGTGAAAGTTATCCTTAGTACATACAATGAATATAGTGTTTGCTTTATGTCATCTTTTTTAATGCTGGCTACATAAAACAAATTGATTTCATGACTGCATAATGGGGTAGAATCTAGGCTGAGAAACCATGCTATAGTACACACATGGGCGCTGGCCTCCACCTCCCACTCTAACTGTATTTCGTGTTGTTCTCTGCCATATTTCCCCCACTGCTGCTGCCCCCATGCCGCCCCACCATCGAATTTCTATTATTTTTTACATTAAACCCCAAGATCCCTTCCTGAAATATGCCAACCACTTTGCTCCCTCAGGGCCTTTGATCCTGTCGTTAGTGTTGCCTGGTACACTTCCCCCAGATTTCTGCACTTCATCATTCAGGTCTTAAGACAGAAGTCAGTTCTTCAGAGGGGTCTTCACTGACCACCCAATTTGAAAGAGCCATCACATACAACTCCAGCCAGGGCAGAGGGTAGGGGGAGGAGTTCACTGCTCTTAGTGTGGTTGGGAAGTCTAAATAACAAAAATGTAAGACAAGCACAAAGAAAACCAGTATTCCACAAATGTCACTTTCCATCTCCCTATGCCACTGTTCAGGCCATTGAATTGTCACTATGGAAATTCTATTCCATTTGCTTAATGATGGCCTGACTCTAAAAAGTGAGGATTCCATCCTCCAATATGCCCAAGTACTCTGTAACCTCTCAGGGCACTTACCACATTCTTATTTTCTTCCTTTTTCATTCAGCAAATATCTGAGGGCCTAATATGGTGTAAGCAATAGCAGTGAACAAAATAAAGATCAGGCCCTCTCCCAGCCCAGTTCATTAAGAGCGACAAACTCATAAATAATTTCAACTGAATGTGGCAAGTAAATAAGATGTGTACTATGTAAAGTTGTGACCAAAAAAAAAAAAAAGTCAACTGTCTTTGAGTAGAGAAGGCATCACAGAAGAGGAGACACCTAACCTGGGTATGAAAGGATCAAAAGGAATTTGGCCAGCAAACAAGGGGATAAGGGTATCTCATGTAGAAGGAACAGCATGTGCAAAGTAGAGGGAACACTCATACCACTAGTCTGAAGTTGCTTAAAATGTTCAGGGAAAGACAAGCAGCTAAAAGGAGTGTCAGGAGCTGAAAGAAGCTAGATAGGTGAGTGTTAGATGATGGAGGGCCGTGTCTGCCATTCCAGGTACTGTGAATTTTACACTGTAGAGTATGGAGAGTCTAGAGTTTTAAAGAGGTGAGTGACCTCAAAGATTTGGGTCTTAAAAAACTCATTCTGGGGTGCCTGGGTGACTCAGTTAAGCGTCTGCCTTTGGCTCAGGTCATGATCCCAGGGTCAGGCTCCCTGCTCAGCGGGAAAGAAGTCTGCTTGTCCCTCTCCCTCTGCTCCCCCACTTGTGCTTGCTTGCTCTCTCTCAAATAAATAAAATCTTTTTAAAAAATTCCTTCTTGTGGCAGAGAAAATAATGGATTGAAGAACTGCCATACCACACTGTTAAAAGTCCGGGCAAGAAATACTGCAACAGTCTGGGCAAGAAATAAGCAGAGCTTAAACTAAAACAGGACCTAGTGACCACTTGAATATAGGAGGCATAGAAAAGGAATGGAGAATAACTCTGGTTTCTGGTTTGTTATATATACTGTAATACATAATAACTATAATATTAGAGTTATATAATATTAAAGCTATATTATAGGTTATAATATAGTGATATCATTAGTTAACTTGATGGAATTAGAGAAACCAGGTGGAATGATAGCAGATTGTTTTGGTCATGGCAAATTTCAGAGGCCTTTGGGTAACCAGGTAGAGGTGTCCAGGAAGCAACTAGGTTAGCCCTAGCAGGTGTGAGATGAAAACTGAAATTTAGACATGAATGCTTCTGCACTAGTAAAACTCATGTGTGTGGATGAAATCACCCCAGGAAAATGCATAGACTAAGAACTGAAAATATTAAAGACAGAGAAAGGCATTTGAAAAGCAGGCAAGGCCAGTTTTGGGGGGGGGGGGCGCGGGTAGGGAATGAATGCTCATGAACTTCAGCTGTTGCAGAAAAGCTAAATAAAATAAACTTTGAGAAGAAATTACTGGACTGGAACCAAAAAAGCCATTAGAAACTTAGACAAGAGCAACTTCATTGAAGCCAGACAACATAGTACTGAGGATGAGAAAGGAGCAGTTGAAGCAGGTGAAAATACTGTGCTTTCAAGCAGTTTACTAAGAGATGGAGGATTGGGCAATCACTGGATAAACACAGCATGGAGGATGTGCTTTATTTCATTTTCTCAATATGTATGACCAGAACACTGGGAAGCAGGAAAAGGAGAAAAAGGCTGAAAGCACAGGAAAGTAAAAAGACAAGCAGAAGCAAACAGTCTTGCAATGGATAGGAGGAAATGAGATCTAGAGGAAAGGTGGATTGGCCTTCAACACCACTTTCATTATACCAGAAACACAAAACCAAACGATGGGTTAAAGTATATACTTTAACGAGTAGGTTGGGGGCCTGAGGTTGAAGAAAATGACTGTTAGACTCTGGCATCTGCTTAGAAGGGAGGAAAAAGGAGAGGAAAGGGCACGGTTTGGAAAGTGTGAAAAGAGCTCTTCAGGAAAGGCACAGGGCAGATGGAGTCAAGGAAAGGATTGCTGTGGAGCAGTGGAGAAAGAAGGGGTGGTGGGCGGGGCTCTGTTGCTAAATTCATAGCTATACCCATCTGACCACAGTCATCTTTCTACCCCCCAGTCCGGTACTCACAAGTGGTTAAAAGATTTGCCAGTTAAGTGAATTAACTAGAACCCCGGTGTTCTCAAACAAGTGAGTGAATTAAAATCACCTACAGGCTTTTTAAAAATGCAAATGTCAAGCCCCACTCCTACTGATTCAGAATTTCTGGGGGGTGAAGCTCAAGCAAGTGAATTTTCCAGAAGCTCTCCCAAGAGATCGTCGGGGCATTCCTGTTATAAAGCACCTACCTATAAAGGTAATCAACTGGCTAGAAGAGAACTGATGCAAATACAGCTCTTACCACATGGCCCTCAGACGGGGTGTGGAGCAGTGTTCTGCCGCTCAGGAGAGCACCCACTGCAAGACCTAGGGTGATTCGAGTGAGTGTTGAGACAGTCACACACACAACACAATACTCTTAAATTAAACGCGTTAAGGTGAAGCTGAGAACTTGAAAAAATGCAATGATGAAAAACACAAACATTTAAAATGTTTGTTCGAAATAACGTCTCACCTCAGGGTATAAGACCCAGTGTTTACCCCTACACTTTGTTACATTACTCTAAAGTCTCAGCAGTACCAAAGTGGAATTCAAGGTGCTGCAAGAAATAGGGAGAGGAAGGAAACTGCAGAAACAGCCCCTGGAAAGGGGAGAAACATAATGGGGAGAAGGTGGAAGAAACCGGGATGCCTCTGAGCGTCCCTCCGCCCCAGGACCTGGGACGCTACGGAACCAGGACGCCGAAGCCCTTCTTCTGGCCTCGCCGGGCACTCACCATAGTCTCAGGATCTCGGCGCAGGGAAATAGGTACCTCTGCCACAGGAAGACACCACCTCTACAACGACGCCCAGTTACTCCGGCAACGGAGCCCCGCCTGCTACCGGATGTGCTGGAAGGCCACCGCCCCGCCCCTTCGTTCCTAGTGGCTGGGAGCACTTGAAGCTCCGCCCACCCGTGGACAGACCCGGCCCTCCATGGCTTCGCTTGCGGCGACGGAACACGGCCTCCTCTTTCCAGCGTCACCACTTAGGTTTGGTTGATAGGTGACCCGGAAGTTAAGTGCATAGGCGGCTAGAGCTCCAAATAGTCTATATTTTATTTTTAAGTAGACATTTGTCCATTTTTCACTTAGCGAAGCCTTACACCGTACTTGCTGTGTTACTCAGTTTTAAGACACCCCAGAGTGTATTTACTTTTCTCTTTTGGAAAATTATTCCGGAAACGAAACCCTGAGAACAGGATGTGATTAATAGTGAGCTAGCAGCTGGATGTCAGGAAGGCCTGGGCGGGTCAGCTTGGTAATGAAGAGGAGTGGGCGAAGTTAACCCCGTGACGCGAAGCCCTACAGTCTGTCAAGTGAAGCCCCCTGAAATCGGAAGAGTAAGGAGCCTGGGCGGTAAGTACAAGAACGGGCTTGTGTAACGGAGGAGGATGTGAGAGGGACGGAGGTCTGGGTTGGAGTTTGGTGTTCAGACGCTTTGGATTTAGGGGAAGGTTGCCTTCTGTTCTGGGAAAGCTTGTTCAGACGCGGACGGAACTTCGGATTCGGCTTACCGGGATGGCAGAGGTTGACAGACTTGTGGCTTCCACAACTGTTAGCCACCGCACACCCTCTCCTCCCTGGGATTGGTACTTGGGGGCAGACCCTCGCCGTGCGCGTGCTGTGCGCTGCGCAGCGTCGGAGCACGGTGGCAGGGCTCGTTGCTCTTGCAAAAGGGTCTCTGGAGACCTGTTTTCAGTGTAGAAGCAGGGTAGTCATGGAAGACCCTGTGCCGAGTTAGATCGAGTACTCTATGGTGAAACCAGTTGTCATCTAATGTACGATTTATCATACTCATATCACTGCACTAGCACTACCTTCCTTCTCGTGTTCTCCAGTGAATCTTGGTCTTTACTGTAAGGCCATGTATACGTTTCTGAAAACATATGTTATGCCATTTTAATTTTTATTCCCAAGAAAGTGCAAATTAAGTTATCATGAGTATTTTTGTCGTATATTTAAACATATAAACGGAAGCTCCTCTCTCATAGTGAGCAAATTAGTATCAAACATTAGTATCGCTAATGTCCCCTGAGAAAGTAACTTAATTCCTTTCAAATTCCTGTTGTCTTATCAGTGATACAAAAGCCCCTACGTTAACTTCAGTGAAGTTTCTTAGGACACATATCTGATAGAGTATACTTGGTAAAAACAGTGAAACAAATTTGAAAGTAAACCTCCCATAATTTTTTGAGACATTTGTTAGCCATAACAATATCACCTGTGAAATTGCATTTTGAAATGCATGTGTACTAAATGCAAAAACAAGTAGAATATTATAACATCTAAATTACAGGGACTTTGTATGGTATTGTTTTAATTCTTTCACTTTATACATTTTTAGGTTTTTTGGTAGAAGTTTTGAGGTGCATTTTCATTGGTTAAAAAATGACTACTCTTGAAAATTTAGAAACCAAAGGTAAGTGTTCTTCTTTTGATGATAATTGTTTTTAAAACATGCAATTTCTGACCACAGGACGAAGGCATGTTTGAACCAGGTAACTAAATCTCATAGAGCTCTTGGGAACTATTTGTGTTTCAGATTTCTTCATGCTTGTTTTGTAATGCAGTGTTTACATTTCTGTACTCAGATATACACCGAATATTAACATCCTTGGATAATAGTCATTACTACTGTTAAGCTACTGTTAAACATTTAGTGTAAAAGCAGAGTTTTGCAGCTATGTTTTTCTCCATTAGAAGATTAAGATTTCAATAAACAGATTTTTTTTTAAAAAATTTAAGTAAGTGGACAAGCAACTAGGAGGTATAAAAGACTTCTTTTTGGTGTTGGGTTGTTTTGCTTGGGCTGCTTTAACAAATCACCACAATCTGAGGAGCTTAAACAACTGAAATTTATAGCCTCACAGAGAGGGATCTGTTCCAGGCCTCTCTCCTAGTTTCTGGTGGTTTGCTGGCAGTTTTTGGTATTCTGGGGTTTTTTGGGTTTTTTTTAAGATTTTATTTATTTGAGAGAGACACAGAGAGCACGTGAGCATGGGGGGAGAGGTGGGGAGGAGCAGAAGAAGAGAAATAAAGGGAGAGAGAGAAGCAGATTCCCTGCTGAGCAGAAAGCCTGACATGAGGCTGGATCCAGATCCTGGGACTCCAGGATCATGATGTGAGCCTAAGGCAGACGTTTAACTGACTGAGCCACCCAGGTGCCCCAGTTTTTGGTATTCCTTAGCTTGTAGATACATCACCCTGATCTCTGCCTTTATGTTTACATGGTATTCTCCCTGTGTTTGTGTCTCTGTATCCAAATTCTTCCTTTTTTATAAGGACGTCAATCATATTGAATTAGGGGCCCACCCTACTCCAGTATGATCTTATCCTAACTAATTACATCTGTAATGACCCTATTTCCAAATAAAGTCACATTCTGAAATATGGATGGTTAGGACTTTAACATAGGAATATTTGTGGAGGGGGACACAATTCAACTCATAAAACTTGCTAACTAGTTACTTTTTAGTCCTGTTGTGCTTGTCCTCTCTATAACATTTCATATGTTGATCATTCCCACCTTTTGAAGTACTTTTTTTCTTTGATTTCCATGATACCACTCTTGTTTTCAGCCCTTCACTGTCCAATGCAGTAGCCACATGTGGCTGAGTTTAGGTGAATATTTTTAAAAATTAAAAATTCAGTTCCTCAGGGCGCCTGGGTGGCTCAGTTGGTTAAGTGTCTGCCTTCGGCTCAGGTCATGATCCTGGAGTCCCAGGATCGAGTCCCACATCGGGCTCCCTGCTCAGCAGGGAGTCTGCTTCTACCTCTGACCCTCTTCCCTCTCGTGCTCTCTCTCATTCTCTCTCTCTCAAATAAATAAAATCTTTAAAAAATATAAAGTCATTTAAAAAAAAAATTCAGTTCCTCAGTCACCCACCCACATTTCTAGTGCTTATTAGTCACATGTGGCTAGTAGCTATTGCATTAGAAAATGCAGATATAAAACATTTCCATCACTGCAGAACGTTCTTCTGGACACCACTGCTCTAGCAACATTTTCTCTGTTTTTCATCCTCCTCTTCTTCTGGTTTATCTTTTAAATATTAATATGTTTCAGCCCTCTTTCTCTTCTGCTCTCAGGGCTTCTTAATTATCTTAAGAATAACTTCCAAATCTGTCTATAGCCCAGATCTCTTCCTTTGTGTTTCAGACCCTTATAGCCTACTGACCATGTTCACATAGGCATTGGTAACCGTATTAGCATATCCCGAAGTCAGGGCCTCCTGACTTGGGTGGAGTGAGTTCTGGAGGTTGGGGCTGTCAGTGAAAGATGGGAAACTACTTTCCAGAAGCCAGATTTGCAGCAAATAGACCTCCAACAGCAAACTCTTTAAGAAGGATTTAAATCAGGGCACCTGGGTGGCTCAGTCCATTAAGCATCTGCCTTCAGCCAGGGTCATGATCCCAGGACCCTGGGATGGAACGCAAGCCCTGCATTGGCTCCCTGCTCAGTGGGGAGTCTGCTTCTCCCTCTGTCTGCCCCTCTCCCCCTGCTTGAGCTCACTCGCTCTCTCTCAAATAAGTAAATAAAATCTTTTAAAAAGGGGGGGGTTGGATTTAAATCTGTTTAGGAAGCAAGAAAGAGAAGATCATGCCAATAAATATTTAATTGAATTTATTCAGCTGTGTGTGAACAGCATTTCAGAGTCACCAGAAAACTTTTATAGTATGCAAATAAGCAAACCAGAGAGGATAATGAAAGTATAATAAACTGGGGGTTTATGAGAAATAGAGCAATTAAATGGTAACTAAGGTGAAAGTCATTAGCATGGTGCTTGGCAAAAACAAAACCAAAATACAATATTATCATTAGTGATTAAAAGTTAGTTATTGCAAGGCCTCTGTGAAAGTAAATTTTTTTTATTATTACCTGTTTGTAGTGAGGATTAGGGTTATACATACATTCTTTCATTTCATCTTAATTTTACAGTAAGGTACATAATTCAGCTGTTAGTCCTCTTCCTACTTAATGGTTGTTAGTGAACAAAAGTTCCTTGTATTGCATGGCCTAAAAATAGGTGTACTGATCATGGTTGACATTTGTCAGTTGCCTGCATTTCCTATAACTGCCTCACAAGAAAAGCAACATTGGTTCATAGCAACAGAAGTTCCTCTTAGTGGACATTTGAGCAAAACTGTCATCATGAGGGGTGCCTAGGTGGCTCAGTCGTTAAGCGTCTGCCTTCAGCCCAGGTAGTGATCCCAGGGTCCTGGAATCGGGCTCCCTGCTCAGCAGGAAGCCTGCTTCTCCCTCTCCCCACTTCCCCTGCTTGTGTTCCCCTCCTCGCTGTATCTCTCTCTGTCAAATAAATAAAAATAAAATCTTTAAAAAAAAAAAAACCTGTCATCACTGCTAGGACTTCATTTGAATGGGAAGCGTGCAATAAAGAGAAACAATTCAAAAATAAGAATTTGAATCCAAAACTTTCTTGAGAGCAAGATTAAAATTACGGGTATTAAAGTCAGACCGTTTAGTGAAAGTAAACCAAGTAGGAAAGTCTGAGACATTCAAATATTTAGAATTCCATAAAATAACCTAACTTCAACACTTATTCTGTGGAATAACAGGTATTAGGTGAAGAAGGAATCCCTGGGCAGATAAATTTGGGAAATTCTGGATTAAAGGAGGGATTATACTACAGGACCTCCCAGAGCCTTTAGCCTACTAATGCACACTGTGAAGGGGCAGAGAGATGTAGTGCTCAGCCTTGCCCCCATTTACTTGGCCAGGGAACTCTTTATTCATAGAGCCTGTGACAAAAAGAATGTTTAGATTCCATGTCAGTGAATGTGGGCCTAACTCTTAAGTCCATTGTCTTTAACATTTTTCTAATTTAATAGTAACTAATCT